AGTTGAAGCCTTCTTCCATTGACAACCACTCAAGAAATTTTTGTTTCTTAGAATAGTACCGGAAGCCCTTCAACTAGTTTCAAGCTACATCCATTCAGTTGATACTATCATTTATCCAAAAAAAAAGCAGGATTAACCCCCGGATAGGTCTTCGAGTCAGGATTAACCCCCTGACGGGTCTTTCGAATGTATCAACCTCCTGGAGTCATTCATACAACGTATGAATAATGAAATATATATGTGTATATATACATACTTATTACTCAATATCACATATTAGCTAAGCAATAATTCATGTCGCAACCCTTTTTTTATACAAGTCCTTGAAGAGCGCACTGATCAAGACAGGTCTCCCTGTCGCAGCCATACTTTTACAAAGGACAAAGGAGAACATTGATCAAGACAGATTTCACTGTCGCAGATGAACTTCTTTATTTTAGAAGAGAACACCGATCAAGACGGTTATCCCGCCGCAAATGAACTCTTCTCTCTCTCAAAAGAAAATGTCGATCAAGACAGGTTTTCCTGCCGCAGACAAGTTCCTCTCTACCTCAAGTTGATAACAAAACGCTGATCAAAACAGGTTTCCCCGCCGAAGACGAACTGCTCTCAATTAATCTTTAAAATAAAATCTGATCAAGACATATTGCTTTGCCACAGATATACCCCCGAAAGATCGAAGGAAACTCTGATCAAGACATGTTGCCCTGCCACAGACGAAGTCCTCTAGTTTTCATTCAATGACTAAAATGAAGGAGAACGCAATTTATGATAGGTTACCCTATTACAAACGAGTTCCCCTATTAATCCGAGCTGCACCATGAAATTATTACAGTGAACTTATTATAGTTTATATCATGTCAGATGTTATCGATCTTTCTATGATATGCGTCGAGGAGTGGTGTAATCCTCTTTAAGGGATAACATCTCGACATTAAGCCCCGCTTTAGATTCAAGCCTCACCACATTCCCTCCGATTCTGATGTTGCAACCCCATCAATCGACTACCTAATAGAGTAGGACAAGCCCACCTCCCATAATCGAGGTTAGTGATACCTTGACTATGAAGGTGAGATGACTCTGCTCGACACGCGGTTAGGTCACTACTCCTTCCCTTGTGGCGAGCAGTAGTCGCCTTTTCTATAAGCAGCGTCTTGATATGATTACAACACCTTCCTCTCTTTCAATGATAGTTTAGTCCCCCTTCCTCAAACTACCTAGGATTCAAGAGACAACATCCCGCTATGGACCAGGAGCACAGCTTCGGCGCGGGCCTCACTACCACCTACAGAGCTCACAGTTTTATCGCACAAGCACCATGACATGATAAAAATCTCAAATACATACATAACGCAATACATGTTTTATGAATATATAACACATTTATTTCTATAATTATCACATCCATAAGGCAAGCACATCACCATCCCAGCCAAGAGTCAGGCTGATCTAAAGAAAAGATCACATATTCTTGCACTTGTTCATGATGGCGATTACACCAACAAATAATACAAAATTTTTACAAACATAGATAAAATGTTTATGAAATGGTCTCACACAAGATCTTTTTATGAGAGGTTGAAAAAAAAAATCATGATCCCACACAAAATTTCAAAATTCGATAAAAACAATCGAATCAGAAATTAAACGACTTTTTTTTTCGTCGACTTTTGACCCCTTACACATACTTGGAGTATGTCCGACTCTATCACAACATTTACACACAATGTTCTTCCAATACTCTCTCCCTCTCTTCGCACGCTGCCCTTGTCGACCTCGAGACTCTAACTTGGAGGACTCGTTCTCCTGAGCAGTTGGCGTTGAGACATCATTTGAACAAACTCTCATACTCTTTCTACTTAGATCATGTCGATCCATCATTAGTTGTTTGCTTTCTTGTTTTTCTCGCTGATGCTCATGACATATGCCCTTCTAAATTTCTTTCATTATTCTTTTTACTTCTAAGAGCATAAAAATGAAGGTTGAATCCCGCTTCCTTTTATTATTCCGGCATTCCCCCTCAGACTGTAGCAAGCGAAGTTGCATACGAAGGACTTGATCAAAGTTCCCATTCCTAAAATTTGAACGGATCCTTGCCCAATCTGACTTGCCATTTACCCCATGGATAAGCTCCTGCTGCTCTGCCTCAGAGAAATTTGCGAGGAAGGTAAGACATTTCTGTTTATCCGTTAAACTCTGTATCCGACGAGCGGTCCTTTCATAGTCAAGAAGAAACTTCTCTTCTACTACTTACGCATCCTGTTTGATATTCTTCAAATCCTCTAATGTCGTCAATTTATCCCCAAACAAAAACTTCTCTAATATGGCATCTCGAAAATCCGCCCATATTAATGCTTCGGCTATTTTCTGGACTACATCCACAAGATTTTTTTCAACATATCTCAGAACCATTCGTAACATTTTATGATCATCCCAATTATTTCTGGATGCGAGTTGCTCAAATTTATCCAGGAATGTGCAAAAAAAATTGCTATCGAAAAGAGGGATTTCTATTTTTGGCAAGCTTTCTCTTTCCGTATCTCTCTGCTCTAGGAGATGGACTATCCTTTGAAGATTCGATATATCTTTATCTTGATGACCACCTTCGCTTCCACTTGTTGCTTCCATTTCTCCTGGCCATAACAAAAATCAGGTGGAGTGTCAGTCTAACTCCACAATAGCTTGTATAATCTAATTTGATTCCTTAATCCTACTCCACATTCGCTCAACTATTACGTCTCTAATACTCCTCTTATCCCCTTTAACCAAGATGATCGGAGAGTTCGTCCAGTCAAGCCAGATCCCCTCCTCGTTTCTATTAACAATACCCTTTTCCGCATCCAATTGAAAACGTCTGCAAACTTTTATACTATGACCACTTAGAGCACAATAAATACATTTCAAAGACTTATAGTAAGCTAGAGTCTGCCTCCTCCTTTCTTTCTTACTTAATTGTTTGCCTTGTATACGAATAGATGACTTAATATCCAAAGTGGTCGGAATATCTCCCCGAAATCCACATGGTCTGACGCTTTCGATTTTCCTGTCCCGACGACTGGTTCCTTGAGCCTCTTGAACCATGTTACGTGCTACCCTTTCAACCTTAGTAAGCTTATGATGATGTTTTAACTGATTACTCTCGCTACCGTCATCACTACTCAAATTTCTCTGCCTTCTCTTCCCTTTTCTATCTCGGGCTCCGGGTGACTCAGAAAACTTAACAATCATCAGTCTCTCGAAATTGTTCCAACTTTTAACTTCAGAGACAACCTTTGCTACGTCATCACGCAAATCTATATGTACCCATGAGATCACCCTCTTCAACGTTGTCTGCTCGCTCCAATCATGAGTGGCAGCCAACTGCTTAAATGTTGAAAGAAATTTCAGAACATTATTTCCATAAAAAATTGGAACATCGATCTTTGGAGCAATAACTGCTCTTTCGATCTTCTCCCAAAGCATTTCAATGAACTTCTCCATCTTGTCCCAAAGATCGTCATTCAGCTTGCTACCTTCCGCCATCTCGCTATAAGAAGATTAGCCTGCAAGCGATAAGACATAAAGGTAAGAAGCCAGAATGATTCGTGGGGTCTATCAAATATCAATCATGACTGTTTTCGAAAAACAAATATCAAAATAAAATAGCAAAACACCCGAGTGTCGTTCCACCAAGGACAACGGAAATTTGTCGTTATCCCCGACAACGGCGCCACCTGTCGAGCGCATCGGCCCTCGCGGGAACGAGGACCCTCCCGGCCATGTCACGCAGGAGTAAAACAAAAACAAAATCAAAGACAACGTAGGACGATGCATAAATAATTTCGCGAGCCGTCGAGACGGTGCGCGGTCGCATCGTCCCTCACCGCTCTGGCCGGGTGCACCAGCAATACATCCCGCGGTCCCCTACGACAGGATAGGTTCCCGCGGGGCATAAGCTACCTTCCCGAAGGGACTGCCACCACCCTTAGGGGCGTATCCCTACCGAGCTACCGACCCACGTGCGAAAGCTTTTAGATGCAATTGCAGAGGTAGGTCAGCCGAGGGCGTTTGCTCGTTCGCCGTAGTATAGATACGTTGGTTAACGCCAAGTGGACACGAACGTCGTTCATTCCTTAGGCCGTTGATCTCCTAAGTATGAAGCGGACGCCGGTCGACTAGGACGGTCTCAACCAAGCGTGAAACCACAAAATTAATCCTAGTCCCTTAGACACACAATCGAAAGAAAGTTATAACAAACACACATAATTTCACCAAAAAGAGTTGACCGTAGTCGACAGGGACATGCCCAATCTGAAATGATGACTGAAAGAATCAGAATCATCATATAGTACATCCAACAACACGATATCAAAAACAATCCGACCACCCCGGGTCGAATTACACAAAACAATCATGCAATCGCCAATGAGAAGTTGACTACCGATAATAACTTTGACGCAGCCGACCAGGTAGTCGAACTACCTTAGTTTTGACTTGATGAGACGCGCTGCCGAAGTTATTCATTCCAACTAACGCCGACCAATGATTAAACACGCATACGCTTATCTCCATTCACTCTCAATCTTCCTGGATGACAGGTTGCTTCGCGGATGATTCTCAATCAGGTGCATGGCTTGAAGTGTTGCATGCCTCTCCTCTAGGAAGTGGTCTGTGGATACTCCTTCCCCTCGCCCAACCCGCAGACCCGTATCTCAGAGGTTGGGCCGTCACCACCGAGTCGGCAAAGTACCACCCTCGACGAGTCCCGACGAGTCGGGTCCACTCCAAGTCGATATTAGGGCCGACTCCGAAAGCATACGAACCCCCGCCTTGGATGCTTCCTAGAGAAAAGAGAATGCGTTCACCGCAAAGAGTTTTCAATTATTCTCATCCCTTCTTGGTTCATGGTAACTTAGACGTAAAGAAATTGAATGAGATAGAGAATGAGAATCACTCTGACAAGTATAGATATAGAATGTCATTCCGGATAAAATGTGTCAATCACGGGAAAATGCTAAGTCCAATTAACTGCATTTTCATTATATTCACAACTTTTGTTTACTGCTTTTCTTAAAATTATCCTTTCCAAAATTCAAGAACCTCTGACATGTAGGCTGGTGAAAGATAGAAAGAGGACAATCCTTTTCCTTTTCCCCAACAGGCAAAGTCAATCTCCATAGCAAGCATCCTCCTACCTACCTGCACATGCTGCAAAGAAAACAAGTTCAAAGGAAAACAATACAATCCCATACACAAGTCATATTTTTTCATTCTCATGTATATTTCACACGACTTTCCTCTGCCTTTTCTTTTGGACGTTCCAAACATCAAGGTCAAGCAAAGTGTGATCTCATACAAGTATGAAGGGGAATCTGAATCATTCAACAGACTGACCTTCAGTGAAGTTTAATTCGGCTCACTCAAGAAAGCCGAATAGTATTCTAGTCAAAGTTGAAAAGACGATAGTCGTCAAAGCTGGAAATATGCAGCTCACAACTCCACGACTCATGGTCGTTCCACTGAATGACGACCACCTTAATCTTCAAGTGCTCGTATGAGCCAAAGTCACATCCACTGAAAAACTCAAGTGAGATAACCCTCCAGGAGGGTGTTCTCAACAATGAGTCCCACGTGGTCCTAACAATCCCAACGGTACTTCCCCCACTACGGATACTCACAACCAATTGCAAGTCCACGCCGTCTCCAAGTACCACATACGCTCTCAATAGCCATACTAATATTTCGGTTCCGATCTTCAAAATCAGTCCTACCTGGTCCCAAAATGGTCTCAGATGGTCCCACGTTACCGCCACAGCACTGTATGGTCCCAAAATCAAATCCTGCTTGCGCTGCGCGCCGCCCAAAAAATAAAGGTGGCCCTGGTTGAAACTGCATGAGCTGCGAGCCTCCCAAAAATAAGGATGTCTTCCTGGCGCACCCCGCAAGTTGCAACTCTGACAACTCCAATAGTTACTATCGTGAGCACTCACTCCCCGTCCTCCTCATGTCACTGGCCCACGCACCACTACCGCACCCAATCGTGCATCAGTGTTAGCCCAACCTGTAGGCCACACTGAAATTCACCTTAACAGCCGCGCACCACAAAAAAATATGCGCACCACTGCTTGCTGCGCCGTTAACCCTGTACCACGGCTGCCCCGCAACACCAGCGTGAGATCACACACAAAAATTGTCTCCACTGACGCAAAACCCGCATCAATCTTCCCTCACAATACTGCCGCCGACGTGCTGCTAGTATAAAAGATAACATCGACACCACCACCAATCTCGACAACACGATTCCACCAAAAATGTTGCTGCCACCGTGCCAAAAAAATGGTAGCACTTCCCCACTGACAACGTCGTTGCCGTCATGCCAAAACAAACGGCAGCACTTCCGCACCACTGCCGTTAAAATCAATGCCGCCGCCGCAAAAATCCGGTAGTGCTTCCCCACCACTGCCGTGAACCCAATGCCACTGCCGCAAAAATCCGGCAGCGCTTCCACGCCACCTCCGTTAGAACCTGTGCAGCCGCCGCAAAATTCCGGCAGCGCTTCCGCGCCACTACCCAGAACGCACAGCTGCCGCCAAAAACAAAATTCGGCAGTGTTCTCGCGGCGCTAGCAAACATACACCACCGCCGCCGTACAAAACGGGCAGAGCCTCCCCTGCACCACAACAAAAACAGTTGCCGGAGCCACGCGGTCCAGGCAACACCTTCCCTGCACTTCACCAAATGAAGCGGCGGCTATGGCAACCTCCCTTTTCCTCCTCCAGCAGTGTCCCCCTTCAACCTGCAGACCTCCACTCTCCACCTCAGCACCTCCACCGGCAGCACCGCCCTTCTCCAGCTACATGCAGCAGCCAGCCAACATTAACTCAAGTGAATGCCCCAGCAGCACTGCCACAAGTGTGAGGCTGCTGGGTGGAGTGCTGGCTTTTATAGCCAGCTGATGGCTGTGGGCAGCTAGCTGCCTTGGCCACAGCCAGGCAAAATTCGTCAGAGTTCCTGACCCTTGATCTAAATCAATGGCCAGGAGCCCAATACCTTAGTTTTCCCCTAGGGAACCAAGGTCATTCATTTCTAGAAGCATCTGACCTTCCCCGCAGGCCACATGCTCCAGGAAATGGTTGTACCCAGCCATACTGCAACTTGTTAAAAAATGAACAGGCACAGTCTTATCATCACCTATAACTTTCCACCCCCTGCATCTATCCTACGCCCACGGCCACGTACGTGGCCGTTACTCTTTTTTTTCCTTTCTCACTTTTCTTTCTTTCCTTTTTTTTCTTACTTACCCCCCCTTATTTCTTTGTGAGGGTCCGCCCGTTGCTTAGCAACGAACAGGCGGTTCAGGGGTCACTTCGGCCAGACAGGAGTCAGGCTCAACAAGGGCTTCTCTCCCATACTGCAACACGTGCCCGCACCCGGCCGCAAATAGTGTCAGGCTTAGGCGCTGCTGAGTGTTGCAGCCCATTCCCGAAGTCGGACGGGCGCAGCCACAACAACACCAGGACACCTCAAAACAAAAACAAAAACAAAAAAAAAAAAAAAAAAAAAAAAAAAAAAAAAAAAAAAAAAAAAAAAAAAAAAAAAAAAAAAAAAAAAAAAAAAAGAAACTTACCTGGGTTGCGGTCACGTCGCAGCGGCCGCCAGGCAAGTCGCTCCCAGTACCTGTTGGGTATGAGTCATCTGCTATAACCTGCTATCAATCATGCATGTTTTCGAAAAACAAATATCAAAATAAAATAACAAAACACCTTAGTGTCGTTCCACAAGGGACAACGGTAATTTTTCATTATCCCTGGCAACAGTGCCACCTGTCGAGCGTATCGACCCTCGCGTGAACGAGGGTCCTCCCGGCCATGTCACGCAGGAGTAAAACAAAAACAAAATCAAAGACAACATAGGACGATGCATAAATAATCCCGCGAGCCGCCGAGACGGTGTGTGGTCGCATCGTCCCTCACCGCTCTGGCCGGGTGCGCCAACAATACATCCCACGGTCCCCTACGACAGGATAGGTTCCCGCGGGGCATAAGCTACCTTCCCTAAGGGCCTGTCACCACCCTTAGGGGCGTATCCCTACCGAGCTACCGACCCACGTGCGAAAGTTTTTAGATGCAATTGCAGAGGTAGGTCAGCCGAGGGCGTTTGCTCGTTCGTCGTAGTATAGATACATTGGTTAACGCCAAGTGGACCTGAACGTCGTTCATTCTTCAGGGTGTTGATCTCCTTAGTACGAAGCGGACGCCGGTCGACTAGGACGGTCTCAACCAAGCGTGAAACCACAAAATTAATCCTAATCCCTTAGACACACAATCAAAAGAAAGTTATAACAAACACTCATAATTTCACCAAAAAAGAGTCGACCGTAGTCGACAGGGACATGCCCAATATGAAATGATGACTGAAAGAATCAGAATCATCATATAGTACATCCAACAAAACGATATCAAAAACAATCCGACCACCCCGGGTCGAATTTCACAAAACAATCATACAATCGTCAACGAGAAGTTGGCTACCGATAATAACTTTGATGCAGCCGACCAGGTAGTCGGATTGCCTTAGTTTTGACTTGATGAGACGCGCTGCCAAAGTTATTCATTCCAACTAACGCCGACCTATGATTAAACACGCATACGCCTGTCTCCATACACTCTCAATATTCCTGGATGAAAGGTTGCTTCGCGGATGATTCTCAATCAGGTGCATGGCTTGAAGTGTTGCATGCCTCTCCTCTAGGAAGTGGTCTATGGATACTCCTTCCCCTTGCCCGACCCGCAGACCCGGATCTAAGAGGTTAGGCCGTCACCACCGAGTCGGCAAAGTACCTCCCCGACGAGTCCGGTCTACTCCAAGTCGATATCCGGGCCGATTCCGAAAGCATACGAACCCCCGCCTTGGATGCTTCCTAGAGAAAAAAAAATGTGTTCACCACAAGTAATTTTCAATTATTATCATCCCTTCTCGGTTCATGGTAACTTAGACGTAAAGAAATTGTTTGAGATGAAGAATGAGAATCACTTTGACAGGTATAGATATAGAAGGTCATTCCGGATAAAATGTGTCAATCCTGGAAAAATTGTAAGTCCAATCGACTGGATTTTCAATTTTTCATTATATTCACAACTTTTGTTCAGTGCTTTTCTTGAAATTATTCTTTCCAAAATTCAAGAACCTTTAACATGTAGGCTGGTGAAAGATAGAAAGAGGACAATCTTTTTCCTTTTTCCCAACAGGCAAAGTCAATCTCCATAGCAAGCATCCTCCTACCTACCTGTACAACATGCAAAGAAAACAAGTTCAAAGGAAAACCATACAATCCCATACTCAAGTCAGATTTTTCCATTCTCATGCATGATTCACACGACTTTCCTCTGCCTTTTCTTTTGGACGTTCAAAACAACAAGGTCAAGCAAAGTATGGTCTCACACAAGTGTGAAAGGGAATCTGAATCATTCAACTCACTAAACTTGAGTGAAGCTTACTCCGGCTCACTCAAGAAAGCCGAGTAGTATTCTAGTCAAAGTTGAAAAGACGATAGTCGTTAAAGCTAGAAATATGCACCTCACAACTCCACGACTCGTGGTCGTTCCACTGAATGACGACCACCTTACTCTTCAAGTGCTCGTATGAGCCAAAGTCACATCCACTGAAAAACTCAAGTGAGATAACCCTCCAGGAGGGTGTTCTCAACAATGAGTCCCACGTGGTCCCAACAATCCCAACCGTACTTCCCCCATTACGGATACTCACAACCAATTGCAAGTCCACGCCGTTTCCAAGTACCACATACGCTCACAATACCCACTCCAATATGTCGGTTCGGATCTTGAAAATCAGTCCCACCTAGTCCCAAAATGATCTCTGATGGTCCCACGTTACCGCCACAGCACTGGATGGTCTCAAAATCAAATCCCGCTTGCGCTGCGCGCCGCCCAAAAAATAAAGGTGGCCCTGGTTGAAACTGCATGTGCCGCAAGCCTCCCAAAAATAAGGATGTCTTCCTGGCGCACCCCACAAGTCTTGCAACTCCAATAGTTATTGTCGCGAGCACTCACTCCGCGTCCTCCTCATGTCACCAGCCCACGCACCACTACCGCACCCAATCGTGCATCAACGTTAGCCCAACCTCTAGGCCACACTGAAATTCACCTTAATAGCCGCGCACCGCTGCTTGTTGTGCCGTCAACCCGGTACCACGGCTGCCCCGCAACACCAGCGTGAGATCACACACAAAAATTGTCTCCACTGACGCAAAACCCGAATTAATCTTCCCTCACAATAGTGCCGCCGACGTGCTGCCAGTATAAAAAAATAACATCGACACCACCGCCAATCTCGGCAGCAAGATTCCACCAAAAATGTTGCTGCCACCGTGCCAAAAAAATGGTAGCACTTCCTCACTGACAACGTCGTTGCCGCCGTGCCAAAACAAACGGCAGCACTTCCGCACCACTGCCGTTAAAATCAATGCCGTCGCCGCAAAAATCCGGTAGCTCTTCCCCACCACTGTCATAAACCCAATGCCATTGCCGCAAAAATCCGGCAGCGCTTCCGCGCCACCGCCGTTAGAACCTGTGCAGCTGCCGCAAAATTTCGGCAGCGCTTCCGCGCCACTACCTAGAACGCACAACTGCCGCCAAAAAAAAAATTAGGCAGTGTTCACGCAGCGCCAGCAAAAATACACCGCCGCCGCCATGTAAAACGGGCAGAGCCTCCCCTGCACCGCAACAAAAACAATTGCCGCAGCCGCGCGGTGCAGGCAGCACCTTCCCTGCACTTCACCAAATGAAGCAGCGGCTATGGCAGCCTCCCTTTTCCTCCTCCAGCGGTGTCCCCCTTGAACCTGCAGACCTCCACTCTCCACCTCAGCACCTCCACCGGCAGCTCCGCCCTTCTCCAACAACATGCAGCAACTAGCCATCATTCAGTCAAGTGAATGCCCCAGCAGCACTGCCACAAGTGTGAGGCTGTTGGGTGGAGTGCTGGCTTTTATAGCCAGCTGATGGTTGTGGGCAGCTACCTTGGCCACAGCTAGGCAAAATTTGTCAGAGCTCCTGGCCCTTGATCTAAATCGATGGCCAGGAGCCCAATACCTTGGTTTTCCCCAAGGGAACCAAGGTCATTCATTTCTAGAAGCATCCGGCCTTCCCCGCAGGCCACATGCTCCAGGAAACGGTTGTACCCAGCTAGACTGCAGCCTGTTAAAAAACGAACAGGCATAGTCTTATCATCACCTAGAACCTTCCACCCCCTGCATCTATCCTACGCCCGCGGCCACGTACGTGGCCGTTACTCCCTTTTTTCCTTTCTCATTTTTCTTTCTTTCCTTTTTTTTCTTACTTACCCCCCATTATTTCTTTGTGAGGGTCAGCCCGTTGCTTAGCAACGAACAGGCGGTTCAGGGGTCACTTCGGCCAGACAGGAGTCAGGCTCAACAAGGGCTTCTCTCCCATACTGCAACACGCGCCCGCACCCGGCCACAAACAGTGCCAGGTTCGGGCACTGCTAACTCGGAGTGCTGCAGCCCATTCCCGAAGACGAACGGACGCAGCCACAACAACACCAGGACACCTCAAAACAAAGACAAAAACAAAATTAAAAAACAAAATAAAAAAACAAAATAAGAAAACAAAATAGGAAAACAAAATAAGAAAACAAAATAAGAAAAAAAAAAAAAGAAAAGAAAGAAGAAAGAAACTTACCTGGGTTGTGGTCACGTCGCAGCAGCCGCCAGGCAAGTCGCTCCCCTCACCTCTCTCTCTCTCTCTCTCTCTCTCTCTCTCTCTCTCTCTCTCTCTCTCTCTCTCTCTCTCTCTTGTAGTGTATACTTCCCCTCTATAGGGGAAGGTTTACTCGACTTCGCTGCCTGTCGACGACTGTCGAGGTTCAACCTCCTGATGAGTCGGTGGAAGTCCGATGAAACAGTCTGGCACAGGGCGAGGTCCTACTAGCAACAAGGATTGGGTTGAACGCCTGAATCTAGACCCGTTTGCGAAGAGGTGCAGAAAATCGAGATTGGACTGCTTTTCCGCATCTCTGCTGACAACACGTTCAGATTCATGAGCTCAATCCGATCCTCTTTGCTAATGGGACCTCGGCCACAGTCACGACCCGTTCGCCAAAACGAACGGGTGCCATAAAAAAAAGAGAAAAACAAAATCCAAACGAAATCTCAAAAGGGAAAACACAAAATCTAGAGGAAATCTAAAATAAAATCTAAAAAAAAAAAGAAAAAAAGAAGAAGAAACAAAAAGCAGCTTGAACCCACCTCATGTAGAAAAACAGTCGCCCGTTTCCACGGGCGACTGTTTGGTACGTATGAAGCCCCTGTCACTTCTTGATGCGCCATGTGGCGCTACTCCTTCAATCAGTTTTATATTTATTTTTTTTCCCTTTTTTTTCTTGATTTATGCGTGTCATCCTTGAAAGCGCAGGGGCCATGCAATTTTCGGCGCGGCTGATCTAGACCGCGCGATCCTCCAGATCGACGGCCAGATCTGGCGCGCCGGTAGCATCACGAACAGCCAGCTCCAAAAGGAGCTAGCCCAAGTATGTTGGCTTCGATCCGAGTACCTGCTGGGTATGAGTCACCTGCTATAACCTACTGGGCTAGCTCCTATCACAACAGTGATAAGAGCTGCTCTTTTATAAGAAGAGCTAGCCCAACCACTATCCCCCCATGGCGGGAATTTGTATGCCCCGTCCGCCTATGGCCTCGCAAGCTCTGTCGGCCTACGGCCCTGCAAGCCCTGCCCGCGTGCCTGTGGCCCTACAGGCCTTGCCAGCATGCCTTACACCGTTGGTAGGCCGCGTGATCTCGGCCTATCAGCCTCGTGGCTCGATGTCAACCTCCGCGGCCCAGACAAAAAAAAAAACCTCTTTAGCCCATCAAGGCCCTGAATCGGTTTAGCCTTACTGTTCACGCGTCCGCATATTCCTGCGGCTTTGACAAAAGCAAAGCATTACCATACACATTCATTACTCCTGGACGCCACACGCATTCGGACTAACGTTCGAAAACTTTTAGTCTGTCAGTCATAGGTCAGGTCTGAATAAACTTTTGGCAAACGTCGTCTCATCAAGTCCTTCTATTCAATACAGAAGTCGGACGACGTCAGACGTTGAAAACCCCCGGCAAATACCCTTGTCATGGTATTTGCCCCGACACCGCGTCTTGAATGCAGATTTGTAGTGATCGTCTGGTCGGATCGAGATTTGATGATATCCCGACGTCAAATCCAAGTTCAAAAAATACTTTGCGCCGCCCAATCGCTCAAGAAGATCGCCGATGCGAGGAAAAAAACCCACATTCTTGATGGTTTGCGTGTTGAGCTTACAGTAGTCGATGCACAATCGTAGATCCTTGTTCTTCTTTCGTACGAAGAGAACTAGCGCTCCGTATAGAGAGCTACTAGGGCGAAACCAACCCTTGTCCAACAAGTCATCGAGCTGCACTCAGAGGACTGTGAGCTCCTCCTCGCTCATGCGATAAATGCAACCTTTTGGCGGCACGACACTGGCCTCAAGAATGATCTCGTGAGAGATCGGCCGATCTGGCACCACACCGGTAGGTGACTCGAAGATGTCGACGAACTCGTCAAGCAACTGCACCACGCGGGGGTCCGAAGACAAGTCCGTGGGTGAAGAGTCGGTTACCGTGACGGTCCGTAGGAAGCATAGGTCGATTTCGTCGGGCTGCTCTTAAACACAAGTAGCCCGGAATGACTTGGCCGTTACCACTTGGCACCGAATCGAAGGGTGTGAAAGAGAAATAACACACGACACTTCAGCGCCGAAGACGTCGCGAACGGTAAGAGTCCGCAGGTGGAAGTTGACCATGTGATCCGCACTTGCAAGCCAAGGCATGTCGAAGTCCGTGTCCAAAATGCCGAATGTCACCGGTTTGCATGCATGAGGTGCGAAATACACTGGTATGACCTCGATGTAGTGGTCGATAAGTTGTTGCGTCCTTTCGTCCGCCAAGTTGATCGTCGTCCAGTTTGCCTTCCTTCGAACTTGTGCGCCAATGCCAACCTTTTGCATAAAGGTCAGGCTCATAAAATTGCGAGACGCGCCGCTATCCAGCGAAGCGCTGCAGGACGCTTGCCCAACTTGGACGTAGACATAGAGGAGCGGTGCGTTGTTGTCATCGTACCGCTGCTTGTGAAACTCGCGGGCCCCCTTGGTAACATACACAAGGATGTCCCCCACCGCGACTTCGTCATCCATCGACGAAGTTGGTGGTGCATAGAAGGATAAGTACGTATGAAGATGAGCCCATAATGCTGCACATTGCTGTCTCGGCAAGAGGCCCGTGGTAGGAAGAGGAAGCCATGCGAAATCCTCGGACGTGAGCGAGTCCAATGCCTCTATGTTGAACTCGCTCACTGAATCCCATGACGAACCACTTGAAGACGATAAGTTGTCGTTGCCGGACGGAGAAGATGTCGCACACACGTCTTGTCCTTGAGCATGAGTACCCAGCGTAGGAATGAGCAGGGCAACATAGTCCTCAAAAGAATAAAGAAGAGGACTATCAACTTCCGCATGTGCCTCAGAACGAAGGGCGGTCACCCGCGAAGTGACCGGTTCAGAAGGCGCCGAGAGTGTCGTCGACTTACTCCCGACGGTTCTCAGCTTCCTGATTTGCCCTTGCCTTTCAACGGGTAGCCCATTGTCTCACGGAGATCGCAGTTACACCACAAACAACAACGGAATCTCATGCGTGCCTTGTATGCTTGCTCGGAGAGACCGTATTGGGACCATGGGGCTGGAGCTGCTGCGCCGGGCCCGGGGCTAGATGCGGTGTTTGTCTTCGTCTTGCCGCGTCCTCGGCCTTTGCCGGGGCGGCCACCATCCCAGGCGGTTGCGAGTCTGTCCCCTTCATTGGCAGACACGGCCTCGCTAGTTTGGTCGATTGGCGTTGTCGCCGCGACCACGACCATTTTCGACCGATACTGATCTCTGCTCAGGCCTGTCGCAGACAAACGGTGGAGGTTCTTAGCCTCCTTGTTCGTAACAATAATCTGCGCGGCCTTGTCGAAGAGCTCCGCTGGTGTCGTCAGGGTGTCCTCGGCGTGAGTCAAGGCGATGCCCAACACCGGATACGACCTCGAGATGAAGTAGTGTTTGATGGCTTTGAAACCCATTTGAATGTCTGGGATGGATGCCAAGCGTTGGTACTCGGCAATCCGGTCAACACTCGGCAGCGTGAGTTGTTCGAAGACCATCAGCTTGTTCATTGCGTTGATCTCTGGCGGCTCTACTTGGAACCGCTTACGCTACGATGTCTTTAGATCATCCCAGCTGATCTTGGTATGCAAGTCGACAGCCAGCACTCCGTACTTGGACAAGAGATTGTCCAGCCATGCTTGGCACGCGCCTCCCGAGCGGGAGTATAAGTACGCGTGATGCTTGTGCTCGATGACGTAGTGTAGTTGCAACTTGAGTTCGAATTTGCGGAACCACGGAATCAGGTCCGTCTTCATCGAATCGTAGAGGATCTCCTGATCATCGAACTTTGGAGTTGTCTCGTGTGGTTCCGATCTCGAGTGAGTGGTGGCAGTACAGATCCATTCCTCCAACTGTTGCATGGCGTTTTGCTGTAACTGCACGCCGTCCTTGAGGGATCCGACGTCAATCTCGAATGCCTCAAGGCGATCGAAGGTGTTGGAAGAGCTGGCAACGGGGGCGGCGACGGTTTGTTCCAACTGCTGAAGGTGGCTGGTGAGTTGGTCAAACACCTGATTGTGTGTCTGAACCTCGTCGTCGAGGTTGTGAATGTCCTCCTGCTGTGCAATGCACGTGGCCAGGAGGTCCGTGAGATGGGAGAGGAGTAGAGAGATCTTGTTTCCACTCTCTTCCAGCTTCCCATTCGCAGCCTCGACCGGCCAGTCCGCTGCCATTGTGAGCAAAGCTCGCTCTCCGCTGAATATCTTCTCGCGTCGTTGAAGTCATTCTTCATTGGCAGCCTTTGCTGCTGCCTCGTCTTGCTGGCGCTGCTGTTCAATTGCCAACAGACGTGCCTTCTCGGCGTCCTCTGCCTTCTTCTTTGTTGCGGCTACTACTGCATCCAACGGGTGCTTGGCTTCGGTAATCAGAAGCAGCATCCGGGCCTAATAGGCCTCGTCCGTTTCCCCGGACATCTGGTCCATGATGGCTGTTTGCGAGCGCGTAAGCATAGACCAGGTGACGTGGTACCCCCTGCTGCTGATGTGGCACTGCTGTTGGCTGACGTGGCCTGCTGACGTGGCAACTCACCAATGCCGCCGCAGGGGGTACCCGAAGACAGATAGAGAAGGTAGGATCAGAGGGGGCAACAACGTAGGTGGGGAGGGGTGAGTGGGATAAATCGCCCAGATAAGGAGCCACTAGTAATAAAAAAAGAAAAGTTTGAACTTTGCAAAAAAATTCGAGAAAAAGAAAGAAAATACTCATTTGCAAGTTCAGTAGGCCTCTCAATTCCCCCTGAAGTGCGAAATTACCAATGAGAACAAAATTCAAACTTTCATACTGCAAATGATTTTCCGCTAAAGAATTCCGAAAATGAAATACAACAAAATATTCGGAATTACGCAGATGAGCGTACGCGCAGTCTAGAGAATAATAACTGCAAGAGGGATTCCCTGTACCGTTTTAAAAAAAACAAATTTCGGAAAAAAATATTCCGGATTTCTAAATAACGGGAAATTGCAAAAGGAAATCAAAATTTTCGAAAAAAGATTTTCCGGATTTTCCAACAACGAAATTTCAAAATTTCAGAAGAATGTGATAACCCGTCCGAACACGGACTGAAACACACAGCTGATTTCTGAGTTTTGCTCATAGACTGAATGCCCTACTGAGTTCCCCGCCTGCTAAGTCTGTGTGTGTGTGTGCTTGCTGGACTGCATGTCTGTCTGAGTGCTGGTTGGCTTAAGTGTGTGACCATGCCTGTCTGAGTGCTGGTTGGTACGAGTGTGTGTGTGTGTGGCCCGCCAGGGCACTTGTTCGTTCGTTGGGCCCTCAGGGCCGGTACTTATCTGTCGCCGTGGCTTCGAAGGGTTGCAGCAGGGGAAAAAGCACTCAAGTAGCGGGTAGGCCGGTACCGCACCCGGCAGGGGGGTAAATATGCAGGTACCGGAGGCCGAGCAGAAGAAGACAAAAGTGGCATTTTTAGAGGCCGGTAGTGTAGGCTAGGTCTAGCGGGTACCAGTGCGAGTCTAGGGCCTGTAGGGGCAATATCAGAGTCTGCGATGATGTTCCCTCCAAAAAGAGGAGGAGGTACCGGTTGCTTGGGAAGGCCAGCGGCCTGGAAGTCACCGCCCAAGAGGCAAAGCAGGCGGCTATATCTTCCGGCCGGGCGGAAGACCCGGCCTCTTTTTCGGTGTGCAAGTTTGGCGACACACTGGTGGAGTGCTGGATGGAGCAGCGCTGCTGGGGAGCAAGAAGAAGGACATGAGGGAGGAAGAAGGAGGAAGGAGGAAGGAAGGGGGAGGAGCGCCAGGGGTACTTACCTGGCTATGGTGGCAGCCATCTTCATCACCTTGGTGGGCGCTGCAGCAAGGAGTCCCCAGCCGGGGAGAGCCACACCAAGAAGCTTCAAGGCAGAGTCAGGCATGGCGGCCTGAGCTAGAGCAACCATAGCTGCTTTGCGTTGTCCTTTGGGCATCTGAGCAGAGCCCAATAGTCCGCCAAAGCCTCGAGTCCCTCGACCTATGAGAGTGAAGAGTGGGAGAGGCGGCCATGGCTATGGTGGACCTCAAGTGATGCCTGCAGTAGAAGAGGGACTCAGACATTGATTCTGGACCAGTCATTCAACGTTGTATTATTATTTCTTGTATGAATAAGAGGGGGAGATAAGGAGGAGGAGATTGTTGGGCGAAGAAGAAGAGCCTTGTCATTGTCTTTGCTGGTGTACATCTTCTTCTTCTTCTTTCTTACTTCTTCTTCTTCTACTACTCCTCTCTCTCCTCTCAAGTTCATTCATTTCTTTCTGCAGTTGGATGGCATTGTACTTTCCAGTGGATGTGTATCTCGAAATTGGTCAAGGTCATAACAAGAAAAACGAAAACGGAAATTTCAGGTGTTGCGCTATTGCGATTTTCCACAACAGAAATAGCGGGAAAACAAAATCCAAGAAAAGAAGAAAAATTTGTCGATTTTCGGCAGTGAGGTCAAAATCGTGATTTTGGGGGCTAACTAGTGTGCTCGAGTCAATCAATCAAGACTAATCAGCTACCTAGTCCCCGCACACGTGTCAGATCAGGTTGTCCTGATTCACGTGCGGTGTTCAGATACCAACTATTACATGCCCAGTTGGGCGATGTACATATGAAACCAAGGATCCGCAATGTGATGAAAAGGACCGAATGGACAATGCAGTGCAAGTAGAATCTCAACAAGCAGTGTACATTCTGATACATACAAAAATGATGCTTTATAGCGCAGTGGAAGACTTAGATACAAGTCCTGACCCGACCGGGACTGACCTCTATCACGTAGTGTAAGACAGCGCAGCAGAATGCTAGAATACCAATGACTAGTTACACTCTGTATATGGGACGCTGGACCCGTTTTCCAGCAGGTGATGCTCCCCACCAATAGATGGAGCTGCTCCCCAGGTGCTAGTGGTGTCTGCTCTTACCAGCACCACTATCACTGGCGGGGGTTGTTTTGTTAAAAAAAA